TGGAGAATAGCACTCCCCCCCCCTCTCCTTCTCCAGAACATAATTTGTTTTATTGTTTTTCATGTAACTGGCGTAATTCTAAAAGTTCTGAATAAGCAAGGATATATTTTTGTCTGAATACATTTTTAGAGTAAAATAAAAAAATAATATGTTAAAGAGGTTGATAAAAAAATGTAATAGTATGTAATAAAGTGATAAATCAATAAAAAATTTAAAAAAAAAAAAAAAAAGAAAGGATCCTTCGTATTTTCCACACTTTCAGCATTTATAATTTGTATCTTTAGTAAATTTGGCAATCTTTTTTGGTGTCATGAACCATTGATACATCATTTTTGTCCAATTTTCTTTCAGGTCAAATGCATAATATAGTTTAACTTCTTGTTCCAAATTATCTCCAGTCTTCTAGCGGTATGGATCTCCCTATATCTCTGGCCCACTTGACCATGCAGTCTTTGATTTGTTCTTTCTCTGTATTCCATTCTAATAGCTGTTTATATATTTTAATGATGATTTTTTTGTGCACTTCCAGAATTTTTTTGCCATGCCAAAGGACCATCCTCAAAACCCAAGATGCAATCTTTTTTTTTTTTTTGTAATCCTTGATTTGGTAGTATTTAAACCAAGACATATTTATAAATTTCTTATTAAGTTTTTCTTGTGTTCTCATTTTTAGTTCCTTGTTTTCTTTTTTCAAGATATCTCTCTAGGTTGGCCATCCTAATGCTCCATCCTAACTCTCTCCTTTGGCAGAATACTACATAGTGGACTTGTATTATTTTACAGGTATGGATTTGCCCCCTGTCTTCCACCATGAGTTCTTTTCAGTCATTACTGATGGATCCTGAATAAACATGAAAGGAAATGGGAGCAGGATTGTCCACTAATCCCTTTACAAAGAGGGTAATAGGTCTTTAGAGGCATGCTTCCTGTATCTGGGGAGACTGTTTACATGAGCTGAAATCTTGAATATAGGGTCTAAAGGCATACAAAGAGCCTCCATGGACAATGGAGGCTCTGTTGTTCAAGAAGTCACTTATCATAAATAGAAGAGGAACAGAACTAACCATGGAGGGGACAAGACTTTGCATCCCCTCTTGTCATATATTTATTTATTATGCTGTAACATCTATATATGCTTAACGTGGTACAAATATAAAACTAGTAAAGGACTAGATAAATCTGAGCAGAGGTCCATTAAAATAAACAAGTTGTACCTTTTGAAGTCAGAAGGCCCATTTGATTTATTTCAGGGATGGGCAGCTTTGTGACATTTGATGGCTCTCATTGTGCACTTGTGGATGTTTCAGGGTTGCACCCTCCACCTTCTTCTCCTGCTGACAATCCTATTTTAGTTCAACGGGAACTGGCGTGACTCTGTGGTGAAGACTATAGGGCAGAGGGATTTTTCCTCTTCATTACTGAAGAAGTCAACAGAGAGAAGAAAACAGTCATGCTTTAAGCGATGTAGAAAGTGTTGGCAGATTATGTGATGTCAGAAATATGTGTAGACTATAAAAAAGGGATGTGGGCTCCATGCCACTTACAGGGTACATATTTTCATTCCTGTCTCAGTGGTTTTACTATCCTGGATATATCTGGACAAATGAGGGAGGCATGTAATGAGGCATTCAGGTTGGACATAGACATTCATCTGGATGTCTAACTGGTTTTTGTTACTAGAGTGCTTTGCTACAGTTTTGGATGGTCATGTAGGAGCTGAGTTGGCTTTTAGCCACTGGCAGCTTTAGGCATTTACAGAGAATATAAAAGCTGCTGTTGGTTCAGAAGACAAAAAGTCAGGTGCCAATCAGGACAGATTGCAGGAAAAGCATTTCATTTGGATTTAAACTTAAAATAAACCTAATGAGTTCCATTTAACATGCAGGTGTGATTTGAAATATTCACTCTCATATTTAGATCTGAAAAGCTTGTGACCAAAATTCCTCAAAATCATCCTATCCCTTAATAGATTCAAAGGCTGCCAAGTTTAGATCCACTTCTGACAACCTATTTGGCTGTCTGAGATGTGGCTGGTAACTATAAGAACAGTCTTTGAAACTCTTTTTTTTTGAGTCATTCCAGGCCTTTTCATTGCTGAATTTTGGGCTATTGATGTATAACTTCTGAAAAGCAAATCTGAGAGATTCTTTCTTTCTTTCTGCTATTAAATTTTATTTATAGAAAAGAAAAAAAGAACAACAACTATAATAAGGTGAGCAAACACATTATGAAGTTATACATTTTTTAAAAATCCCATTAATTTACTTTCTAACTAGCACCCCAAAATTATTTATACCTAATAACACAAAAAGATATAAACACAAAAATAAATCATACCAACACAGAGAGAATTATCATGGGGAAAAGGTGTCTCCACTGAAGCATTATCACCAATCCTTGTTTCCACTTCAAACTGTTTATTTTCAAAATCCAATTATCACAGGAACAGAAAATGAGGCGAAAACTTCTGAAAAGGGGCAATGACAGAAAAATAAACATCATGGGGATGTTAACACTTTCCCTATGCTAGCCAAAACAAAAACAAAAACAAAAACAAAAACAACCCCCCCCCCCAAAAAAACCCCCACTACATTCATGCATGCATGCATAGATGATAGATAGATAGATAGAATTACACATAAAAATGTACCTGTTCTGAATTATATACAAATTCAGTCTAAGAACAAACCTACAGAGCCTATGTTGTTCATAACTTAGGGACTGCTTGTATATTGTTGCTGAATTGTATGGCAAGCCCCAACAATGTGAAAGTGTGGGACATATTCTTTAAAAATTCATGGTACTGACAAAAAAAACAGAGTCAAACATTAATAAATTGATAGTTGCATACCAGATTCATCCTTCTCATTAGGATATTTGTATGTTATTTGTAATTTTTATCTTAATATCATTTGTCGTTATATTAGTTTTCTGTGTGCATTGTGAATATTACTATTATTTATTTATAATTTCAAGCTTCAAAGTGTCTTTCTGTGGTGGCCCCTTGACTCTGGAACCCGCTCCCCAAGGATATTAGGCAAGCCCCCACATTGGCAGCCTTTAGAAGGAGCTTGAAAACTTGGTTGTTCCAATGTGTCTTCCCTGATTAAACAATAATTCCCTGTTCTGACCAATTCTCTGCAAAATGTCCTCTGATGCAATTTATTCTACCTATTGGGTCAAACAACCCTACCTTACCCTCTAAAAACCCCTGTTTAGATTTATTTTACTGCTGTTCACACCCAGTGTTTTAAATTTTTAATCTATTAGATTTGGCCCTGCCCACAGTGTTGGATCCTTGTGTTTCTAAATGTTTTGTTTTATTGCTGA